GGGGAGAGGGAGGTCTGGGCCTCCCTTCTGAAGCTGCTGCCCCCGCGACCCGACCCCGGATAGGCGGAAGAAAATGGATGGATGGATGGAAGTTTTATTTATTTTTTCATCAGGGTGGCGGAAATGGGCTTCCATACAGAAGTCTTTATTTCCGTGTGTTTTTACTTTATGCATTTCTGCCTCGTTATGCACATAAGGTGGGCGGTCCTTCCTGGGTGGAACAGGAGCAACGTAGTACGATATCGATCAGTTAACTTTATTATTGATACTGTCCGTCACCTACTCATGTTGTTTGTGTGGCTTCTCGGTCATCCAGGACATGAACAATTAAAAGAACCGAGATGAAGCAACTGGACTTCTGTTCTGTAGCTGAAGATGTGGAGCTAAAAGAAACCTCATGACTCAAGGTTAGTATCGTAATTACTGAGATCGATCCTTCTCCCCCACCTCATTGAAGTAAAAGTCGGATTTAATGCAACATGATTGTTCTGACTGCAGTCGCTGTATCAGATTTACTACCACATACTGAAAGGGCTTGAGTTGGATTTGAAAAATAAAATAAAATAAAATAAAAAAATGTCAAGTTCAGAACGTCAGGGAAAACATCCCATAAAAAAAATTTGGATTTGGGTCACATTTGCCTGCAGTGTGAACGTTACCTATTAGTATCAGTTCAATTCTGTTCCAGAGGCAAAAAAATAAATAAATAAATAAAATAAAATAAAAAATAAAAAAAGCACCAATTGGGCCCTTTATTGAATTTTCACAAATTAAATATAATTTTCACAAATCGCACACCTGGTTTTAGATGTTCTGCTACAAATGTAGAATAATGTATTCCAGGTTTGAAGCATCTACTGTAGGTGTTTTGGAGCTGGACTAGATGTAAAAAAATAGTGGAGAATAGCCACTAGAATTCAAGTTTCACTAACCCCAAACTTAATTTAGATATTCAGCAATCCGTGTAGAATAATCTAGTCCAGGTTAGAAGAGTCCAAGTATTTTAGTTTTTAAACTAGAACAGATTAAATGCTCATCTAACTGCTGCCTTTGTTGATCACAGCATCCTTTTATCCAGACTTGAACATGTTGTTGGTCTTGAAGGCTCAGTTTTAACATGGTTCAGGTCATATTTGGCAGACAGGTCTTTTTCCATTTCTGTGGGGGAATACTCTTCTTCATCTAGTCCTGTTTGCTGTGGTGTACCTCAAGGTTCTATTTTAGGACCTATTCTTTTTTTGTTTGTATATGTTGCCATTGGGATCAATTTTTAAAAAGCACAAAATATCTTTCCATTTTTACACTGATGACATTCAAGTTTATTATCCTTTTGATTCAAATGTCTCTGCCCCTCTGCAGCGACTGATTATCCCAGAATTGTCAGACTTTGAATGAAGACAAAACTGAAATTATTTTATTTGGCAGTTATTCTCGTCTTGATGGTTTACCTGGAATTCTTGGCCCACTTGCTCCCTATTGCTCATCTGTGGTCAAGGATCTTGGATTGTTTTTAGACAACGCTTTTAAATTTGAGAAACAAATATCTTCAGTTGTTAAAACCAGTTTTTATCAGCTCCGTCTAATTGCCAAAGCAAAATCTTACATTCCCCACAAAGACCATGAAACTCTTATCCATGCTTTTATTACATCTAGACTGGACTATTGCAACTCTTTATACAGTATGTTGGTTTGGAGCAATCATCTGTCCATCGCTTGCAGTTAGAATGCTGCTGCGTGTCTTTTAACAGGTTCTAGAAGGCAGGACCACACCACTCCTGTTTTATCCGACTTTGCACTGGCTGCCTGTTCACTTTCGTGTTGATTTTAAGATTCTTTTACTTACGTTTAAAGTTTTAAATGGTCTGGCACCCAGTTATTTATTGGCCCTGTTGCACTTTTATACCCCACACAGAGAACTTAGATCCTCTAATCAGATGCTTTTAGTGCAGCCAAAGGTAAAACTAAAGCGTAGAGGGGAACAGGCTTTTGCTGTGGCGTCCCCCAGACTCTGGAACAACTTGCCTCTTGAGATCCGTACTGCAGAGTCTGTTCAGTGTTTTAAATCTGGCTTTAAAAACTCACTTTTTATCACTGGCTTTTAATTCAAGTTCAGTTTGAGCTACATTAGGAATTTATAATTTGTGTCGTTTTATTTGTTTTTAGCTCATTATTAGTTTCATTGGGCCTCATGCAAGAACATGTTCGTATTCTTCTCCTAAATTTCTCTTACTTATGTTCGTACAAAGGGTTTGTACGAACATGTCACGTCAGATTCAACAAACTCTTCTATCTTCAGGAAAAGTGTGTAAATGAGCTGCGTAATTTACACCTGTTCGTATCCAGCTGCTCGTGCATGAGGAGAGGAGATTAGCATAATTACCACCCCAAAAACACCATATAAGGCTATGTTTCCTGCCTCAGATACAAGGAAGTGTTCATTCATGAAAAATGACAGCGAAAACTCAAAAGAAGAACTTTACGAGTTCAGAGATTGAAGTCCGTCTGTCAGAGATCCAGAAAAGAAAATCTGTCATTTTTAGCAGGTCAGCTGTGGAATAAAAAGAGCTGCTAAAAGTATAAACAACTGTGTGAAATCATTTTCATTTATTCAGAAGACACAGCGCTGCGCGGTCGCAGGTGGTCTCAGATGCGGGTTTGAAATAAGCATTTTAAAATGTTTTCAAAATAAGTCTGGCACTTTGGAGAAAACCCAGGACTCACTGGAGGGGTGGTGTACCCCCTCTGGCCTGGGAACGTCTCGGAGTCCCCCAGGACGAGCTGGAAGGTGTCGCTGCGGAGAGCGGGGTCTTTCTCCTGCTGCCCCCGCACCTGATAGCGGGTAAGCCGGGCGGACCGACAATTTATATTGTTAGTCTAAATTATTACATTTAAAATTATAACTCTAATTCAAGCAGAATAGCTTATTGTCAACATAATTATGGAGTGTGATTTATTTTCAACTCAAAATATCTTCAACTAACGAAATATAAAGTTATTAGGGAGGAAAACCCGTCTGGATAACAGCAGACTGACTGCTCGTAAAATATACGACAGGTCTGGACCACTCGTGAATTTTGTTCGTATCTGAAAAAAATCTTAGAAAACGAAAACATTGGTGAATGCCACAAATTCTCCTAAATCACTCGTACGCACAACTTAAGAACAAATCTGTGCGTACGAACGGTTCTTGCATGAGGCCCAGTGTATTGTGTCTGTGAAGCACTTTGGTCAACACTGTTGTTTTTAAATGTGCTATATAAATAAAGTGATGATGATGATCTGAACTTGACCTGTTCAGCTGTTTTTGATTGAATTGGCTTTTGGTTTCAGTAAATGACTTATTGCTTCAAACTCAACAAATAACCATTTTCTGTTCTATATAACATAAACGTTTTGAAATTCTCTTGTGCGTAATAAGTTGGAACAAAGTTTTGAAACAAACATCGCTATAAATGGAAGTTGTTTTATTGAATAACATTCGATTTACTGTATGTTTGGCACATTGTCATTTATATGGGCTATTTAGGAAAATCAGAGAAAAATATTATTTGCATGATTGGAAGGCAAAGTATGAGTCAGATGCAGGTGCACTCCTCAGCTAAGATGTTGGGCAGGGTCTCATATTTGAAAGAATTCCCGCCGTCTGACGTGGTGGTGATCCTCAGAGACCTCATGGTCCCCGGGACGGGAGCGCAGCACTGAATCATTCCTAGCAAAGCAGCCATACGATCCCAGGCCGAGCAGTTCCCGTGGCAGTAGTAGAAGGTCAGCACCTTGGGGAAGACAATCCAGTTGTCCCAGTTCAACTCTTCAAAGCTGATCTGGATCTCCTCTCTGTGGCAGTCGTCCTGCTGGGGTCTCTCCTGTGACGGCCGCTGCAGGAGGTTGACGGCAGAGGGAGACCAAGGGACGGTTGCCTCCCGGCGAGAACGGACAGGGGCTCTGAGCTGGATGTAAAGGTGGAGAAAGGGAGTCTTGTCCGGACTGTCTGTGTGGCACAGACACCGGCAGCAGATCTGAAACAGAAAGGGCCCTTCAGCCGCAGAGGCCAGCAAACTTTCGTCAAGGCGGTAGGTGCTCCATCCGTCCGAGCTGAGCTCTGCCGGAGCCTGAAGAAGCTGCTGCTTTGGGGAGAGAATGAGGAGCGGGGCAGAGGAGTTCACTCCTTCCCCTGCAAAAAACCAGAAGTGAGCAGAGGTGATTGTGGCATCTCGGAGGGTGACGGAGGGCTGGAAGTAAAGAGTGGAGCAACTGCTGGTCCTTTTTCCCAACGCTGAGTCAGCACAGGAGGAGTCTACCAAGATAAAAATGGAGAGAAATCAAATATGAATAATCTAGTCATAAAGTCTGTCTTTCATGGTTTTAGATTCTGCTGACCCCTCGTGGCTAAAGTTGACATAACACTCATTTCTTAGCCAACACAATTTTGCAACATTTAAGTTAATTTGTCGCATTGACTCAGTGCATGTATAAGGCTGCTGGACCAGATGGCACTCTACTAGATCTCCTACAAAGCTAACATGTACAATCAGCTATGGAGACTAATCTGTGCCAATCACATTCATACACTGTTGGGACACACATCATTGGCATTATGGGTGAAGTGTCTTGTCCAAGGACACAACAACTGAGACAGCTGGAACAGGGGATCGAACCGATGACCTTCCAGTTCCAGGACAACTCCCCTAACCACTCTGCCATAGCCGCCCCCCTATCAATCTTCACTGATATATTCAATCTCTTTTCTAGCAACTGTACCTAAATGCTTTAAAACGACTTGGTACCAAAACACTCCAGCCCAACTGTGGGGCAGATGACTTGGGACCAGAAAGTCACAGTTTTGACTACCTGCAATGCCCACATGTCAATGCAGATCATAAATCTTGCCATTGTGTGGGAACATGCATTGATGCCAAAGTACATTTTATTTACATTTTTCCAAAGTGCCTGAACAACTACCGCCCTGTAGCACTCGCACTCATTGTGTTGAATTGCTTTGAACAAGTGGTCCTAGCACATTTGAGGAACTGCCTACCACTCACCATGGATGCATCAGTCTGCCTATCACTGTAACAGAACAGAGGAAACAGTCTTCATTGCGCTGCATTCTGTACTCACACCTGGACAGTAACATATATGCACGTGTGCTGTTTGTTGATTTCAGTTCAGCATTCAGTACTGTAAGAACTGCGATGTTAATCTCCAAACTCAACGATTTATGAATCAGCACCTCCCTCTGTCTTTGGATCATGGACTTTAACCAACAGACCTCAGCATGTTAATCAGGCCACATTTACTCCTCCACCGTCACACTGAGTGAACACAGGTGTACCACAGGGCTGTGTGCTTAGCCCATTCCGTTACTCTCTCTTCACCCATGACTGCAGGCTTGTCCATGTCTCATCAGTAACAATGAATAAGTCTACAGAAAGGAAGCACCGAACCTGGATGCTTGGTGCACTGATGACAAATTTCTGCTTAACGCCAGCAAAACCAAGAAGCTCATTGTGTACTTCAGGAGGGTGCAAGGAGGCAGGCATGGCCCTATCAACATCCACAATACAGCTGCTGAACATATCTCCAGCTTCAAGTTCTTAGGGATCCACATCTCAGAGGACCTGTCCTGGACCACCAACACCTCCGGCCTGGTCAAGAAGTTCTCACGAACTTCCTGAGGACACTAAAGAAAAACCACCTCTCCACGGCACTTTCACTGCTGCGCGATTGAGAGCATCCTCACCAGTAATCTCACCGTATGGTATATGAACTGCACTGTCACGGACTGTAACAGATTGCAGCGGGCGGTGAAGACAGCATCATGAGGTCTCCACTTCCACTCATCGCAGACATACAGAGAAAACGCTGTCTGCACTGAGCTCACAGCACTCTCAAGGATTCCTCTCACCCTGCCCACAAACTATTTGCCTTCTTGCCCTCTGGCAGGCCATCCAGGAGCCTCCAGACAAAAACCAGCAGACTGAGGAAAAGCTGTTTCCCCAGAGCTGTCTCATTGAACTGTCCCCTGTTAATAACATCCTCCAATCTTTCCTTTGATTTAAGAATTTACAATAATATTCACATTGTACTGTACAGAGTTCAAAATGCACACCTCCATCTATCTGGCTTAATTATAACACTTCAGATTGTATATAGGTCAGTTTCATACCAATCCGCTTATCATGTATACAGCACATTCATACAGTATATTACCTATCCTACCCACATATCTGTATATTATGTTCATAGTACAACAATACAAACATATTTTATCCACACTTACTGTTTATTGCACTACTGGTTGGATGCCAAACTGCATTTTGTTGCTTTATATGCAATGACAATAAATTTCAATCTAAACTAGCAGATATGGAGCTAAAACTTGGTGTGGTAGTAGCTATTATATAACAATATACGTTAAGTGTGATATTGCAAGGCATTGCACAGTTATAACAGTATTTTCAGTAGCACAATTAGTTGGTTTCGTCTAAAAAAATCTAAGAAGATAAAATAATCATCTCTGATTTGCAGTACGCCTTGATTAAAAAAAAGACAACATTTTTAAACAGGAAAAATCTTTAAGCTTTGTGATACAAACTGTTGTTTTGGAGATGTTAAAGTGGAATTAGTGCTAAAGTAATAGAACAAGCAGCTTCTTACTAGAAGTGGGGAACAGAATCATTTGAGTCGAATCTCGGTCTGGACCGGTCCAACGGCTCTCCCACGCTGTTCTGCTCGACCTGGGGACCCTCGTACGTCTGTGCACCACGGGGGGCTCCTCCAGTCCCAAGCCCTCCAGAACCCGCTCTCTGAACCAGGACAGCACAGCCCTTCTGGGCAGCTCCTTCACCTCACAGGCTTCAGCCAAACTTTGGATCCAGAGAGAGCCCAGGATGAGGATGGCACCGGACGCCATGACTGATACGCAGCTTAGCTTCAAATGTCTCTCAGTTTCAACCCCAAAATGTTCAGATAGAAACTTTTTTATTTGCCTGGAATGGAACAGCAGCTTTCTTGACTCGTGTTTTTTTTTTTGGCTCTGCATCTATCTGAGAGCAGCATTTAGTTGCAAGTGAGAAAGATAAAGAACGACCTTGATGAACTGGCTCCAGTGTGTGGTGATTTCCCACAGAATCAGAATGTGACTGGATGCTTCGTTCTATACCTTTTTTTTATTTTGGCCAGTTCTTTACATGCAAAATACAAAATATGGCTTCATGCATGAGGTTTTCACATCCTCATCTCTGATCCCCACACCTGTCTCTGATATAAACAAAGCTGTCTGCTGCCTTTGAGGGTCTAAATCTCTCACATGTATCCAAACAAGGACCTTTTTTGAAATCACTTTTAACCGTCTGAAATCAGCATCCAGGTGTAAATATTTCTTGATTTGCAAGATGTGAATCAAAACTTATATAATTATTATTACTTAATACGCAGAATTTATAACCAGAAGCTACTACGACATCTGTTTACCTACAGAAACTGCTAAAGTGACTGAAAATGGTCGATAAAGGTTTGGTACTCAGAAATCTGATCAGTTTGATGTATTGGTTAGGGCTGCCACAAACTATTATTTTTATAATCGATTAATCACCGATTATTTATTCGATTAGTCGACTAATCGGATCATACGTTAATTGAATAGAAAACATAGAGCTTATCGTGCCAGAGTGCAGCTGCTATTATATAACCATGGTTAGATTTTAGCTATATGCTAACTAAAAATAATTGCTGTGGAAGACAAGTTCTGCTCTGCAGATATTYCACAGGTTTCTCTTTCATTTTCTTAAAATGATCCCACACTTTGAGCTCTGTTGTCAGGTAGCCATGATACCAGAGCCTGTCTGTATAATGTCTTGTGACGTCCACGGCCTACCCCAGTTACCACTACTGTGCATGTGTGTCAAGGACAGAAAGGTAGATGTGGCAGTGGAAGGTGTCAAAGCAGTTTGGAGAGAAAAACAAAGTAAAGAACAACAAAAAAAGAAAACGATTAATCGATTATTAAATTAGTCATCGATTATTTAAATAATCGATTAGTCGTCGATTAATCGTGGCAGCCCTAGTATTGGTATGGTTTTATTAATGGTGACCATGGTTCAGCCAATTAGCTAGCAGCTCATAGCAGAACTAATTTGTCACTTAGTGGATTAACTAACCGTAAGCAGACCAATTAGCTAAACTATCTAAATAAGGCTTTGCCAACTTTAAGTCCGCTAACAGCCAACTGACAAACTAATAACAGTTTTGTGTCAGTCCCAACAGTGTTCAGCTGGAAGGCGACGATGTGCGACGCAGACGGATGTTGTTTAAAAAAATATGTTTAATGAGCTAACAGTGAGTCTGAGCTGTGCCAAGAGAAGAGTGGATTAAAACTGTAATCTCTAAATTTCGGAGATTCCACGTCATTTAATAAACAAATCAAACGATGCCTCTCAGGTTCGAGTCGTTTTTAGGAGGCAGCAAACCATTTTGGTTTAGTCCCAATCAAAGGAGTCCTGATTTTTTCAAAGGCCACTTCAAAATATCTGAACTATCCCTTTAAAGGGAACGTGACATGATAAAAATATTGTGAAACTTCTGTAGGATGTTTAGTTTTTAATCCGCTGATCATGGCTTTCTGAGCAAATGGCATATAAATATTAGTATTTTTGTAACAATTTTCAATCATTCATTCATCATGAAAAATTATTTCATCCAAGAAATTCATCACAAGCTGAGTAAGAAAATCCTGGATAGTAAAAGAAAACAGTGTAAATATGGGGGGTTAGTAGTTACACTTTAAGTAGCTGAGTCAAAGTAGCTGCAGCTACAGGAACGCCCAGCATTTCTTTTTTTTCCAACATTTTGAGTTTGATCAAAACTTACATTACAGTTGGATGGAAACTGTGGGTTTTGGTTCCTCAGAATGACTGACTCTTGATCACCCCGTTACTAAAAGCACAGCACAAAATAAAATGTAACCATTACTGTGGCTGCCCCGCTCCACTTGAGTCCAGTCTGTGGTGGTCATTGCCCAGAGTAGTTGTGGTTCTCAAGGGTGGCAGCAGTTACTTGGTCACAACAACGGCCTGCCGTACAACAACTGAGCTCAGAACAAGAACAGAACTTCACTAAAACTGGGCTCACTTTGTGCTTTTTTTGTTATTAATATGTAGTTCATAAATATTGTTTCTTTATCGCATTTAATAATTTAGCAACGCAGTAAGCATCTGGTTTGTATGATTACTCAAGGGGGTAACTTTAGGTATGCTCTAAAACCCTGCATGTCATTTTTAGCCATTATGCTTAAAACGTACATATATGACATTGTAAATTTTTAAATCAGGTCAAAGTTACCTAAAGACAACAACAGAGTTGCATCTGTCTATTTAACCAGTTCATTTCTGTTGTGTTTGAGCAAATTGTTATTTTATTGGGGGGTCATTTTGACTGGATCAAATTATTGTGGGGGTCATTAACCCCTGCCTCCCCCCCCCCATTACTTAGTTTCACTGAAGTAGCCCAACTAAGCTAATGTCTGCTAACATGTACTTGTCTTGTGACAAACCTTTGATTTAAGTTTTTCTTGATGGATTTTTAGTTTTTTTTATTAATTCATTTATTCATTTCATTAAAAAATAAACAAAGCACATTTGATACAATAAAACAATACAAATCAAATAAAATGAAAGGCAGCAGAAGAAGAAAAAAATTCTTATATCTGCTCCTTTTTAAATTGCTCTGATTCATTTAAATTACTGGTTCTTAATAGTCGACATTTTAACTTTAAAGAAAGAAAAAACAAACAAAAAACAAAAAAAAACAAAGGCCTTCAGATGAAAAGTTCCTACAGACATTTAGCTAATAAGGTTCTGATTAGAATAAGGTTCTGATTAGAATAAGGTTCTGATTAGATTAGCCACTTGGCTAGGTTATTTTTGACTACAACCAACAAATCTAGAGTAATTTAAAAATCAAAAGCTGTAGCTTATAAAACATGAAATATAGTTACTTTGAATTAAAAATATAAACGTGTTCTGACAATAAATTCATTGTAATGTGAAGTATCCTGTATTGACCATCAGAGGGCAACACATTATCAAACACAAGGTGTTTTGGGCCTAAAATAAAATCATTAAATACATACTCTATATTATTTCTGTTTTAATATAACAGTTTTATTAAATACTGTCATGAAATATAATAAATTTCTGAATTAATTGAAAATGTAAAACACAATTTAACCAGTTTATTCATAAAGGATGTAATATACACTCATAAAACCAATTTCTATGTTTTTTATTTAGGTTTCCTGGTAGGTTTGAGCCTAGTTTTAAGTAAAACATTCAAAGTAAAAAATGAAAAAGAAATAAGACTTTGTGATATAAGAGGCAAAGATACTGCTTGTCATCTCTCGTGATAAAGATATAATAAAAGATTGACTTGTCTTGAAAAATGACAAATTTAGAGCTAAAATAATGTTGCGTGCAATATTATTTGTTAGCTCTTAGAGTACCGGTATTCTCAAAGCCAGATGGACAGCAGGGTACTTTGACATGTGACCGTGTTCAAGATGAAGGCTGACTTTTTTGGGGAAAAGAGGACGAATTCCTGGAGAAAATATAAAAAGGTGAAAGTTGCTGGAAAGGACTGCACTTCTCATTTAAAATAAAAACATCCAGAGAGAAAATACTTCATTTTTTCCAACTGCAAGAACGAGAAGAGAGAAATGTTAAGAGACGACAGGCATGTAGTGTTGTTCTGCCCTCTGCAGACGTCAACATTCTGCTCCTCATTAAAAAAAATCACTCATTTTTGATTCAAAACACTAAAAATGGCTAAAATGAAGACTAAACACCCGAAACTACTCCCTAACAATAAAATACAAACATGATAAATGTCAGATACATGTTAATTACTCAGTCCTGCTCGCACTGTCTCTGAATTGCTGCCAAACTTCATTCAACTTTTGAATATTTTTTATTTTCTTCTTCCTGTAGATTTTTTATTGCTCGTCAGGAAGGAGGTCTTGGGGTTTATATTTTCAGAAAGATGAGACTGACAGCTGATTGCAGTGTTTTTCCACAAAATTGTTGTGTTTCCTGCTGCCTGCAGATGCAATGTGTTTCAAATAGGACCATCATTTTCAGAAAAAATGGGTTACATGTTAGTTATTATAACTTTTTTTAAACTTGGTCTATTGGCATCATTTAAAAACAGATGTATAGTTTGAAGTCACTGCTTTTGACACAGTTTGTACCAGAGCCTCAGAGAGGCTGTGTCTTTCCAGCTAGAGTGATTGACATGCTGTCATGCATCAGGTTGTAAGGTCTCCTCATATCCATACAACACTCTTAAATATCTGAATAAATATGCCTGATATGAAATACAGCGGGTAAAATAAGTATTGAACACGTCACCATTTTTCTCAGTAAATATATTACTAGAGGTGCTAATGACATGAAATTTTCACCAGATGTTGGTAACAACCCAAGTGATCCATACATACAAAGGTCGTATTCAGACCTGATAATTTGCTCCACTTTAAAC